CTGATATCTGACAGGGAGGCACAAGAGCTGTTTGCTGAGCAGCAACCCACCACTGTGGAAATCAAAGTTACCTTGCAGAATAACTGGAGTGGGATATTGCAGTTCTGGCATGGAATGCAACTCTGAGATACCAAAGTGGCTGGAAGAGATAACTCACAGATTTTCTGTGTCTATGCAGAAACAGTTTGGTATCATAGAAAAATTAAAATTTCACACTTCTATATGTGAAGTGCATGGTTTTGTCATGTTTTTCATATAGTAAATAAGAACAAATAAGCTTTCTCCAATCACACACAGCATATATATAGATATGGGCATTTTCCAAGCTTTATCAATTCCAAGCCTTAATTAAACTTAAGTGAAGTGCATATTTTGTTTCTGACCAAGTTTATCAGTCTGTTCTGTTTGGGGAATGGATTAAGAAGAATGAAGTAGGTAGTCTTCAGGCAAAGTCCAAGATTTATCGAGACCATACCCTTCCTTTGTGAGGTCTGACAAAAGCCTGTCACAGTCCTACCACAGATGTCCTACACAGAAGCAGCTATCTGTTGGTTAGCTCATTCTAAAATGCCAGTATGCCTTGTGGCTTTAAAATCTTTAAGGTGGACTGTTACTGGAATCTATCTTTAAATATATGCTTTGTGATATTTTTCATTAAACATTTTTGAAAGACCTTAAAATTTTTGCTTTGTTTGCATAGGGTTTTCGTGGATGTGATACAAAAATTGAAAGAGGAAAGCATGTAATAATGGGTCTACAGGAGAGGAAGACTCTTCCTTCTCAAAATGAAGTCAGCCGGCTTTACTGTTTTCATGGTTCAGGTAGGGGCTCATCAGGATCTGAGCAACCAATGAGAATAAATTCTGAAAGTCTACTGATCCATTATGTTGAAGAATTTAGTGTAGTGTGTTAAAATGTTGAGACTCCATTGCAGTGTCTGTTAATCATGAGGATCAAAATGTGAATGCAGCTCTGAGGTACACCTGAAAAGCCATACAAAGCCATACAAAATAATGCACTTCAGACTAAATGACCACTGAGGGCTGCTATTTGCACACAGATATATGACCACAAAACAAGACTTATTGGTCCTGAATTAGCAGCAGAGGGAAAAAAATTAAATTGTCTTTGTCAGTGACATTGAATTTTTATCCACTGAATACACCACTATAGTGAGCCATGATTTATTTCTTTTATTCCTTCCCTCACCACTGTTTTCGTGGTGGTAAATCTTTCCTAAGTCAGGATATGGAATTAAGTAATATCCACAAACAAAATTAAAACAAAAAACCCATAGACTTGGTGCTGTCAGCTTTACTTACTGGCTCCTACATCTGGAATGGGAGCATTGCTCAAACCAGCAGCAGTGTGTGCTGTTCTCATCTGCTCTGAATGCCTCACAAGGAGCAGGATAAGTTCTTTCCATGTTTCTCTACAACAGCTGAAGCTTTGGGATGACAGACAGAAGGGCAGCTCCTCCTGCTCTGGTGTGCAGCAGGCGAGGAAGTGAGTGTGAGGAATGGGCACATCCTTGGCACCTTCCAAGTGGGACCAGGCAGATCACTGGTGCCTTGACAATAGCCCCAGTTTGGTTGTGAAGCCTTGAGCCCTTGTTATTTTTCCTCTTCACTTACCCACCTTCACCTTTCCCTCAAACTACAGTAGCTGGGGGACAGTCATTCACAGTGAACACATTTGCATTGTTCTCAAGATGTGGGAAAAACTGGAAAAGAAACACAAAGTCCCAGAAGCAGAAACCGTGGGCCTCTCCAGGTTTAGCATGAACAGGTAAGAATGAGGAAAACTGCGGGGGTTTAATTTTCTTTTTTATGTTTCAAGTCGGAGTTTATTCCTTCTCAGGAGAACTGCAATATCCCACCAGATATGGGTGGTGTGTCTGCAAGAGGCTGGGTGAGGGTGCAGAGGTTCCTGTGTCAGAGACACGGACAACTACTCTCCATCTCCAGCACCAAGGACAGGAGGGAGGATGCATCACCTAAAAGGAAACAGATTCTGCTCCTCAGAAGAGTTTGGGTTGGAAGGGACCCTAAAGCCCATCCCCTGCCATAGGCAGGGGCACCTTCCACTATCCCAGGTTGCTCCCAGCCCCATTCAACCTGGCCTGGAACACTGCCAGGGATGGGGCAGCCACAGCTTCTCTGGGCAACCTGTGCCAGGTCCTCACTTTCCACTGGAGCAGGTTGCTCAGATTGGCATTCTGCTCCCAGGACAGTTTTGGCAGCCAGGAGGTTGTGATAGGGCTGGACACCCAACTTTAAATGACCCCCTGGGCTGGTGACAACTTCAAACAAAAGTGCCCTCAAAGTCCCTTTCAGCCTGCAAAGCCTTGATTTAGGAAGGAAAATGCTTTTAGGACCACCTTACTAAAGACAAGAGATCTATCACAGATTTCAAGGTGCTAGATGTATGGCTGACACCCTTCCTGTTTTCCTCATCATGTGGTTCTAGTTGCTTCCATGGAAAATTTGTTGTTAACTGCAAGTCAATGTACCAGAAAATGCCCCTGTACAAAGACCTCATGCTAAACACCAGATCCCAAAATAAAGAAGATAAAGGTGTTACACTATGGAAGTTGCCTAAGAAATGCAGAGTGCAGAAATGCTACACTTGGTAGCTTTTCTATACTTTTAATTAATAGTTATTGAAAAGAAAAAGGAAAAAAAGGCAACATATTTTTAAGCAAATGGCATTTGGAAATATATTTTTTTTAAAGTCTAGTATGTGTCCAAGGTTGAAGACCAAGATGTTTCCTATTACCATCCCAGTAGGAGCTGCCTCTGGGCAGTTTTCCTTATCTCCTGTCAATAGACCCATCAATGTCTCCCACATGGCTCAGAGATACTCTCCAGGAGCCAGTTCTGTTTAACAGGTGATTTGTGACTCAGAACAACATCAGCCCATGGTGAGATGCTCCGCCCAGGGGGAGGAGCCAGGCATCCCCACCTGGATAAATCCAGCCATTTCTAGACAGAGGCAGCCTTTCCACAGGTTTCTGAGGAGGCACAGCAACCACATCTGCCATCCCAAGGGGATTGCAGCCACTCCAATTGGTACTGCTACCAGCACGCTGGCCAGAGGAGTGTCAGGTTGTATTCTGCCTTTGTCAGTGGTCTTCCTTTTATATCATTGCATGCATTTTTGTCTTTTTCCCTATAAATTGTATTTCTGACTTGGAGTCTCTCACTGGTTTTGCTTTCAAACCAGAACATGAACACAGAATTTCTGATTACTGAATGTAAATGATTAATCCCCAACATCCTTCCAAATCCAAAATATAGCTCCAACCCAGTATTGCTCTTGGGAATTTTCCTCACTGCTTCACATTGTTTGTGGGGTCTCTGCATGCAGAGGAATTTTATACTGAACAAATTATTTTATACTGAGTTAATTATTCTCTCTAAAGTGACCAAAAGCTTTATTCACAGAATCATTCTGGACGTGTTCGTGTGCATGCCACAGCTAATACAGTCTTTTGCCCTTTGCTGTTTGGGACCTTTCAGACTCCAGTTGATTGTTATGAATTGTCTACTGAGCCTCCATGAGCCCATCAAGTGAGTATTTATTGCCTTGATTAAATACAGTCTCTTGGCTGTCTTTTTATCATATCTTTTCACTACATTTCTTCTTCTTTTAAAAAGTCTTAACTTGGGTTGATTCTAAAGGCAATGGCCCATGGGTAACATCTTCCACAATCATGAGGCATAAACATTAACTAATTTTTTCTCTAATTTTCTGACTCTGTTCCCTGATGAGAAAATTATTTGCAGCCTTTCTTGTACCACCACACCAGCTGTAAGCAAAGCTGCTTGGCACTTCCATGGAGAAGGCCTGCATTCCCTGAACCCAGCTGAACTCCCCACTGGCTATGGCTGATCCTGCAAAGAGAAATTCTTATCCATCAGATAGCTAATTTATGGTTAGCTCCTTACAGGAATTGCCCTATTGAAGTTATGAGACAGTTTGTCTTTGGAGATTATACATGTTGGTTAGACATGGAAACAGGGTTTGATGACTAGTCTAATCAGACTTTCAAATCTGTACCTAAAAGTTGAATATTGCTATAAAATAGCTTTAGTCTGAGAAAGTCTCAAGTATAAGGAAAAAGGGGGAAACCCCTCAGAAACTGCAGAATATAAAAGTTTTTTTCCTATGCAGGTTTCCAAGCATTTAAAACATTATTGTATACTGCATGTGGGCTTTCTGTGAGCAGCAAGTCTATGTTTTATAATCTGAGCTATCAACACTGGCACAAAATAATGTGACACGAAACAAGGCTATCTATGAATGTCTAAGGTTTCTTACAGATACTTATTTCAAAATTTTAATTCTGAGTGATCTAAGGGGCCTGGTAAACCACACAGTAACTTTTCTAGTTCCCTGGCTTGTTGAGTCTATTCCAGGTGTTCAAAAGGATTAGCAAAAGTCATTTTGAGTTGTTTTTCTAGAGGGAGTTTCTAAATTTGGTGTGCAGCCATAAAAATCTTGCATCTGTGTTATTATCCCAGTGGCCCGTGCTGGGTGTGTCCTTGGTGTTTTGCAAATCACTGTAAGCTTGTGAAAGCAGCTGGATGGAATACTTCTCCTTCTAAAATCCTCTCTCAAAAGATCCCACACACACTGTCAGTCATACACACACAGGCATATACCTGCCTTTTTGTAAGGTGGCATATTGACCTCAATTTAGCTGCTTCTTGCTTTCAAACTGAAGATGCTGCTGACTATGGGCATCTTTAATTTCTTTTTCCTCCAGTTTTCTTTCTGAATTTGATAATTTGAAAAAAAAAAATCCCTCTATGGCGATACAATCCAAAGAATGAGGAGGTTTAAAGAGGTAAGTGGTAAGGACTATTTGGGATTCACAGCTGAGCCTGCAGAGGTGGTACTAAAACAGCTCTAACAAAGTGTGTCATATGCAATCTGTAGGGGCTCTAGGCAGCTGATGGCACACACAGTGTCAGTCAGTGAGCACCCCAAGCAGGTTAAGCCTGGTTTAACAGCCACATGAAAGCCACAGTCCAGTCTTCATCATCAGTCAGCTCCACACTCTCACAGAAATCTCCTCTCACTGCTAACAAATATTTACTCTTTTCCTGATGCTACCATTCTTTTGACACTGATCTTTTTAACTTTCTACCCCTAGGTAAAATAGAAATTGATAGAGAAGTTAGTTTTCTGTCTGAATTATGTTTATCTGTTCCATAGAAGAAAAACTTAAACTAACAGCAGCATATTTTGTCCCCAAAGGCCTTGCACTGCCCTTTATGTTGTTTATAAACCTTCTGCAGAACAAAATAGCCCTCATTCAAATTTTCCTCTCATGCATGAGACTTCTGATTATTTCTATCCTCCTTTTCAGTATTCTCTCCCACTGGTCCAAGCTTTTCTGCACAAAAAGATAAACTATGCATCATGACTGGAATTACACTGCCCTCTTCTCCTCTCAGGAACGCAAAAACAAGGTAACTGCTTTTGCTATTCCATGTCTTTAGCTCCACTTAGTAAAATAGAGCTGAGACCTAAAGTGGCTCTTCAGTCCTCATTCTATAGTGAGTTACCATTGCTTCTGACTTCTTCAGCTCCTGCATGGACTGCATTGCAGCTGTGTAAAACAGGCCCAAAAGTATTTTGACTCCTTGTGTCTCACCCCCTCAGTAGTGGAACAGTAGCTGTCCAGTGTTTAGTGTCTAGTTATGAGCATTCCTTTGATTTACAGCATCTGACTTTGAGAATATGGGGCAGATGGAGGGGAAGTATGGTTAAAAGTATAGAGAAACAATTTGCTTAGATTGTGCTTAATTATTTACGTTAGTGGTTTTACTGTCTGAGACAGGTCAAGTAAAAGTATCTTCACTAAGTACCTAAAATACACGAAGCTTGTGTTTTAAAAGCACCTATTTTAAGAGTTTTAAAAATACTGCATATATTGCCTCCCATTGATACACAGCCTGAATAAATCTACACCGTGTTTTGGTGCGGAATTGAGTGGAATTACAGCATAGGAATTAATTTTCCCAATAAACAGTAGTCAAAGTAGGCTTGATGTATTTTGGTTTCTTTACATTTCTGAGAGTCAGAGCAACATCTCAGGAGAATGAGCAATGCCCCAGCTGGAGATCTGTGAACTAGGAAGATGTTCTTAGCCTTACTAAGTCATTCTCTTGTGTCTCCAAACAAAACCAGAGAAGTTTTTCTTGTGCAGAGTTACATGTGTTGGTGACAAAGTACCTTTCAGTTGCAGGCTTAAATACTGTCACTCTTCGTTTAATTTCTAGGCCAGTCTGTACATTCAAGGGACCCTAGGAGTTAGGATTTACAGTTCAAATCATTCAGTTCTTCTGAATTTTCTGTAATTCGTGGATTTTCTAAAGAATATGGATGATATAAAATTTTCTATCCAGCAACACTTCTAGAATTGAGCCAGTGTTTTCATCCAACTTCTGACCATTTCATCTCTAGTAAAAATCAAAGTGCCTGATTTTATTGGATTGCCATTGCATTATGCCATTACCATGAATCATTAAACAACGGTTTCTCTACCTCACACATGAAGCATTTGTGCCATATCCTCAAGTTTTCCTAGCATAGCCTATATAATCCAGGATGAAAGTTTTCTGCCATGGCAGAACAAACACGCAGCATGGGAAGGACATTACTATAAAATAAAACTGAGTGGAAGCTGAAAGCCCAGAGCATCTTTGAGAGCTGGGTTTTGGTTTCTTTGGATCTTTAATCCCCAGAATGGCTCCATTTTTTTTTTTTTTTTGTCCAAATTGTTCACCCAGGTCTAATGACCATTGAGCAGTCTGGCAGGCACCACACATGAGATAGGATTAGGAGGTCATGGGTTCAGTCTGTAAGTAGGACCACTCACCCCTCTCACAAATCTACTCAGTTGACAGACAATTCTTTGTGATGAGTTGGCCACCCATTTGGAGGGTAAACAGAATTCTCACTTATTTTGAAAATTTGACCATGAGACACAATATACCTTTCTGTCTGGGGAAGCCCACCCCACAGACAGGGGAAAAAAATCACAGTTCATGCTGTTCAAAATACATCTTCCCTAAGGCTCTTCCTGGGCTGACCAGTGTTTTCCAAGCGGAGTGCTTTTATTCTGTCTTCCAGTGTGTTATAAAAAATACTTAAGAAATGATAAAAATCTTTATTTTAAAGGAAAAACTAATTGCGCTCATGGAACAACATATGTATTTGTTCAGTTACTTTAATTAAGAGATTGTTTTGCATGCTTTCAGGAAAAAAAGAATTATAAATAATACCTTAATGCCATGTCTTAAAGTATGCTTTAGAACTCTCCTAAGCATCTTGTTTGTTATGCTTCAAAACTTCCTGTCACCAGAAAGGGAAAAAAACCCAACAGCATTCCTTCTGTCTTACAGAAAGATGAGAGTAAGAAAATCGTCCCTTTGGGGATTTTTAGTTGGTGTAGAGAAAATATAACTTCATGAAGGATCTGATAACTAACCCATATGGTGTGTGATCATGATAATACAATCCAAACATCACAAACCAACTCCCAAAAGCTAACAAGAATCAGCATCTTTGTTATAGAACAAAGCAATGAGATTTCATGGTAACCCAAAATCCAGTTCCTCTGGAGATACCGAAGGCCTAATTCACAAGGAAAATAGATGGTCACAGATGATGATGCATGTCTTACAATTTGTTGTTGCCTCCCACAGATGAAACGGAGGGCTTGATCTCTTGTGGTGTTAAAAATCCTCTGGCATTTTTTGGAATCAAAGAACTGATGGAAAATCAGATAATTAAAATTGTCTGCTTAGAATCCCTGTAAGTATTAACTATATGTTGTATTCTTCTGCTCCTTCTGTTTAAACAGTTTTTCTGCATTTTTGCTGTATAAAAGTCATCCTAGCTTTTTTATTTTGGAGGGCAGGAAATCTGCTGATTACTTAACTAAAAAGGTTTAAGTAAAGGGCTGATATTTTCCAGTTCAGATTCAAATGATTCAACCTATAAGTTCAGACATGATCTTTAACTCTGTGGCCCAAGAGGACAATCCCATGAATGTAAAATTGAGTACATTTGCCAGAGGCCTACAACTGTCTTAGGACTCGGGGACATAAATATTGTATATTTATGACTTGTCTGTATGAAATGAATACAAAGTATAGGTGAATGTGGGCTTAACTCAAAAAGAAAAGCATAATATTTCATGTGTTTCTTAGGGTTCTCTCTGGCTGGAGAAGTCAAGTGATGCCAGGATAGATTTTGGTCATAACCTACTGAAAAAGAATTTTGGGTGACAAAACAGCCAGACTTATGAAATAGACTCACTCAGGGCTTTCTAGAAATGGTAATGAATGAATCCACACTGCACAGAAGAGATTATCGTCCTTGTTTTACTAATAGAGGAAAATGTGATTCACAGATTTAGAGACTTCAAATGGGAAACTTGACCTTATGATGATTTTTTATACTGTGGACTATTTTTGGATCATCACTGTCATGGTAAGTTCCCTATCCAGTTTGGTTATTTTGCCCAAAACCACCATTGTGCTATTTCAGTGAAAGACAAACATTGACAGCCAGTTTTGAGGTGAAGGGATCTCAGTTCTGCCAAATATTCAGCAGCGTATCATCAGGTACGTCCAAACAACATCACTACACAAAACTCTAACACAGAGAAAAGTTCATAATTAATAAAAATGTTTCCCATGCCAAAAAATCACTCACTCAGAAGGAAAGTGTCAACCCAAAAGAGATCAAATAGCTTGTGGTATAAGGTTCTAACACGCTGCAGTCAACTAAAGTCACTTTTACTGACCAAGGTCTGCAGCAAGGCTGAAATGGTAATAAATTCCAGGAATAAAACAGGACAGACCAGAGAGAATTGGAAATATTGGGAGAAAGAAGTCTCACAGAGTGAACTTTCTGCTCCCCACAGTCAGTGTCACTTTATCGATGATGTGGTCCCAGCTGTGCCAGCACCAGGAGAAGCTCTGCACAGGAAAGGGGAAGGTGACGCACTGTGGCCTGAAGGAGCTGCTGGTCCATGCCAGGCACCACTGACTGCACTGTCAGGGGCACCCAAGCCAAGCTGGGCCTGGAATGCCAACAGCTGCGCTGTGCCAGCATGCCAAGACTGATCCCAGAAAAGATGGGCACTATGGCAGGGAGGCTTGAGCTGCTTGACCTCAGATGACTCAGTGTGACAAATACAGGGCTTGCAGAGAAAAATAAAACTATGCTTAGCCAACATTAAAAAAAAAAAAGTGATAATTCAGCGTTTGCCTGATGGCTTTTTTTCCAGTTATAAAAAGCTTCTTGTTCAGCTTTTACAAGATATAACTGGTGTATTCTTTTTTATGCAGGAACGAAAGGAGAGAAAAAGAATTCTGGCATGCTTCTTCTGGTATGTTTCTAGAAACTGATATTCTCCCTCCCTTATTTTCCTACCCATATGCAACGATTGCTGTATTCACTGCTGAACTGGAAGAATCTTCTCTGAGGATGAAGAGAGAGTTCCTTCAAGGTAATTCCTTGAATTCTATGTAGAGACTATCAATGAGGCAGTGACAGATAACAGCTGTGGTGTTCTGGAAATTACCCCAAGGCTGGCCAAACTCACATCATTCCAAACTACTAGTTTCATCATGATCTGAATAAAAAATGTGAAAATAAAAAGCTGCATTATAGTTGCCTATAATAACTTATCTCACTGGCCACCAATTCTTTGCATCTTCATGAGTTTCAAATTCTGCACAAAATTCCACCCATATTCCACACACTTCACTTAATTTGGTGAACTCACACAGAAATAAGCTAATATTTTCAAACTGCTGTTACTGCAAGCTAGAAGGGGTGAGATTAATATCCCTGACACTGAAGCATGGTAAACTGGTGGGTAGCTTTTATTTTTGTCTTATTGACAGACTGTGTTCCTCGTGGCTGAGGTCCTTGGATTTGATTGCAAGCTGTTGACTTGCAAGCTTACAGCTGTCCTGGCCTGGATATAGTTATAAGGAAAGCTGTGTACAAAATGCCAAATTGTAACCTGACACTGACTGAAAAGAAAACATGAAGAAATAGGTCCCTGAGAAGGTCTTGTGAGTTACTGAAGCCAGGAATGAAAGCTGGACTCCAGCAACTTTATCAAGAAATTAAGAGGTGCTGCAGGAACTCTACTCCTATCCTGGCTACAATGTGTAAGTTTCCATCATTTCTTCCTAATTGTCATCAGCTGATGGTGGGATCCAAAACATTCTGAACATTCCTTTGAGCATGGTGAGACATTGTATAAGCAAACGAAACAATCTTCAAACCTATCCTGTGTGAAATAAAGAAAAGCCTAAAGTCTTAAAAAATCAGAGATTGAAATTCCCAGCAATAGATGAGAAGAGGCACTTGAAGATGTGAATAATGAAGCACAAAACTATGCAAAAAGCTGGGGTTTTTTAATTTGGATGTGGCAGTTAATCCAAAACATCTTCTGGTTTGCAAAGGTTTTAATGAATTTTAATGAAAAAGCTGGCAAAAAGTATCTTAATTGGCTCCCTACCATCTTAACTTAGTGGTATCTTCCACATGCAGTATCTTTGTCAACCAACCTCTTGCTCAGCTCCTTGGTGATTACTGAAACTTAAAGAATCATCCATTCCTTTTTGGAGACAATTCTAACCATTATAGCACGATATAAAAGGAAGGGATTGAAAACCCACACAGGAGCTTGTAGAACATTGTTAGTTAGAGTCTCCAGCAGGTGTACATCTTTACAGGATCAAACCCAAGCCTAGCTGAGCTGGTGTTGTTGCCAAAGTAGTAATTCTAAAGCAAACCATCCTCCTCACTCCTGCCAAACATGTCTCAGTGCGTTCCAGCTCCAGAGAAGGTACTTGAGTGTAGGCACAGAATATCTTAAATATCTCCTTCAGGCTGCTCAGGAGGAAAATTGTCTGAAGGACAATTTTCAAATTCAGCTGTGTTAAACAGACAAACACCAAAAAGCATGTTAGTTACATGCCTAGGATACTAAACCTAGTTTGTGGATCAAGTATCTCCCACTAAGGATGAAGAGGACATCCTGAATATTTTAAATCTCAAATTCTTAGCATAGGTGAACCAAGTATAAATCCAGCACAAGTTCTGTGACTTTTTAGGAGCTGACTCCGCACTTGGCAATAGCACACCTCCTCTTCTCCACTGTCCTTGCCTAGTGCACATTCCACAGGTCTGAAGGAGCTGAGTTCCTACAGCACACTGAAACCACAGTGCTGTGCCTTGGCTGGTGCAACTGCAGGACACTCATATCTGCACTGCCTCTCTCTCAGGAGCCAAGGGGCTGCACAATGCCATATAACACTTTGTAGTATCACCCAAAGCCTCCTTTGACCCCTAAAGAGGTCAGAAATCACTCATCTGAGAAACCTAGCTTTAAAGCACATGCTGGAATGGATTTTGATTTTTCACTAGCACTTTCCAAAATGAACAGCCTATCACTTCTCATAGCAGTTTGCTCTAGCAATTCCAATTGAAACATAAAAATATGAATTTTTCTGTTTTCTGCCTCTAGTCATTGATTCAGAAACAGATATTTGTCACAGAAGAGCAAATGACAGCCAACACCAAAACTGAAACATCTGCAATATGAAATTCAGTTCTGCTCTATGACTCTGGCAATTGCATCCTAAGATAGAGATGCTTTCTCTTTCTTCACTAACCAATCTCACTGCTTTTCCCTGGGTTAGTTAAACAGCAAGAGAGCATGGTTAACCCATCTCTTTCCCTATCTTAGGTTCTTCCCAGCTGCCTGCTGTCTTTGTGTGTTCAGAGGGTACTACAGTGCTCACTCTACAAGTTTAGCCACAACCCAGGGGCCTCTGAGAGGGAAAGCTCTCACCTTTCCAGGCCTGCCTCATGGCCATGGAGCTAACACTGGCAATAGGGGTGTTAATTACTACTGGCTACAGAAGTGGCCTGGTGGGGCCCCATGGGGGAGCTGCTGTGAAGCCACAACAGCTATTTTCTCCTCAGCCACCCAGCAGCTGTTGTGTGGTGATGTCTCCCAACTAATACTGCTCTAGACAGAATTTGGGCAGCTCATTGTGAAGCTGGGAGATCTCTGTTCAGTGGACTTTAGTCAACCACTCTTCTATCTAGATACGTGCATCAATATCCTGTTTCTACTGCCTACCACCTTTCTTCACTTACCCTGGGAAACACGGCCAAGCTGCTTTGCAGGCTGTACCTTTTACAAGGGTTTTTTTTCTTAAAAAAAAAATCCAAAGCAAATCCAGGTATTGCTGACGTTGATTTTCTTCTTTCAACTAAGACTCAGCTCCACCTTGTTTCAGATACTGTACACACGTACCTAGGCTCACACACACCCAGTCATTCACCTTCCTCCCCTGCTCTTACAGAGTGCAATCAGACATAGAAATTACAGAGTGTTCTAATGTCATTATCTAAAAATACATCTTGTTTTAATTAGATCAAGAGTTTAGGAGCTAGAATGGATTTAATCAAGAATTTGTAAGCAGGGTGCAACCTTTAGGAAACTTACTGAAATTATTATCACTTAGCGGTTTTCCATCACCCATGTAGTGAAGTTTTCATTTGCTCTGTTAATGCTTCTGTTTCTTTGGCAATACACAGAATAGTTCTTTTGTTTGTTTGTTTGTTTCCCTGCAAAAGCATCCAGATATGTCTCTTTGTTTACTGAGTTGTTGACACAAAGGAGTCCAGTGTAATAGGCCAAGTCGGTGTATCCCTTCACTGTGAGTAGGACTAGCAGGATTAGCCTTCCAAAATGAAAGGGGTGCAATAAGCCAAATACCAATGTCATTAGAGCAATATGATGGATGAATTTGAGCAATGTCTCTAAAATGCCAAACTGTCAAACTCAAGGATTTAACAGGCTTCAATTAACTTGGTAATTTGAAAATGAGTGAGCCAATACATTATGATACAGATAAAGCCTCAAAAAAATTAAGTATTAAAAGAACTGTTACTTAAAATGAAAAAAAAAAAGTTTACATCAGGGTTTTATGTCCTAGTTCATTCTGCCAGTCTTTCCATTCGAACTTCTCTAAGCATACATAATACTAAGTGATAGAAAGCAACTCTACACTAACATTTTCAGGTCATAAGGTCAAGCTCTTGCAAGTCAGAAAATACCAGGACAAGGACTGACAGTAAAATTTCAATTCACCTGTCTCCTGTGCATGCACAGGAATGCAGCCTGCAGTTCTACAGCAACACAACTGTTAAAAATGTTTTAACAGACTGCCTCATATTTACTGCCACCTGAAAACCAAAGCAAGAAAGACACATAGCACTGGGGTGAAGCAGCACTAGGGAAAAAAAATCATGTCCTGCAATGCTTTATGGGCGAAACTTACTTAGTTGTGGAAAGAAAACCACTAGAATCAGAAGGGGTTTTCTTGTATTGTTCATGCATTCTAGCACCCATTTAATAAGAGATTACTGGGAAAAACAGCACAACATCTTTCTGGAAAAGCTAATCATCCAATCTTGTGCCCATGCCACATAATTGTTGCTAATCCATGCTCCATGATGTCATCCTCCGCAATGCTCCTTTCCTTGTGTTTGCAGTCCTGATATCTCCTTTTCTTCCACTCACATTGTCTTCTCTGCTCCTTCTAACCACAGGAAACAGTTTTGTTTTATTACTTTCTGAAAACTGTGGTTGCTACAACCTCTTTGGTATTTATGATAACTATTAGTATCTATAGGGTTCAATTGACTCACACAGCAGCCCTTTGCTGTTTCATGGTAATTGCCTTCCACCCACACTCTCTACCTTCCCAGATCAGAGCTCCCTTCTCTCTCTCTCTCTGTCCCTCCCTGTGACTCACCCTCACTGCCTGGAAGTCCCAGGCACATGCTGGCAGCTCTAGAGATTATGTTCCCCCTGCCCAAAGTGCTGCCAAGCCCCTGACCTGTTTGAGAAAACTTTGCTCTGCTTCCTTCTCACTTGTACGTTGATAAACCAAAACAAAGCTGGAGAAGCTGTTTTGCCTCAGGAAGAGGAGTGGGTTGGTATAAGTGGAAGCTGTGTCAGGGGAGGTTTAGGCTGGATATCAGGAAAAGGTTCTTCCCCCAGAGGGTGCTCAGGCACTGCCCAGGCTCCCCAGGGAATGGTCAGATGCCAAGGCTGCCAGAGCTCCAGGAGCATTTGGACAAGGCTCTCAGGGATGCACAGGGTGGGATTGTTGGGGTGTCTGTGCAGGGGTTGGACTCGATGGTCCTTGTCTGTTCCTTCCAGCTCAGGATGACACTCTCTGCCCCTTTCAAAGAGCTGCAGCTATCTGTCAGTGTTGGCACCCCCCTCAGTCCAGCAGCCTAAAGAAGGATGCCACTGGTGCAACACCTCAGGACTATTTCAATTTACATGGGGCTGTTATAGCTCCAGTTTAGCATCCTAAGAATCCATGCAGCACAAAGATTGCCCTTTATCTATTTCCCCCTACACTGCTTGAGTTCCTTGGATGTGGTGGATCACAGGCACAGAACAGAGTTTGGTCCTCTGCCTCTTCAGCATCTCATTCACTCCCTTCTAATTCTCTTTCAGCTCAGCATTCAGGCAACCAGGCTAGGTCTAATTAATTTTAATGGGATTTTTTTTTAACAGAATCATAGAACATCCTGAGTTTTGGTAGACTTCTTCACTGGGTCCTGTTTTCTGTCCATTCACAGTGCCACTAGATGCACCTGAGGGGAGCAACCAGGTGTACCAGGTTCCCTCTACCACCAAGGAAGGAGCCAGACACCTCCCAGGATGATTCAGAACAGAGGTGGATTGAATTACTCCATGGACCTGCCTGTCTCTCCATTTACTACAGAAGACATCCGGTGAGACTGGACTCCTAACTTGAGAACCTCTCCTCATTGCCTAAATTTGGTTGTATGAATCTACCTCTGCATGTCGCTGCAGATGAACATTCAAATAGATTGCAACACGCCACTGCCTTTCACAGCTCCTTTTGTTCTTCTCCTTGTTTACCTCTCTCTTATCATAGAGCAATTGTGGTTTCCGCATATTGAATTTTTCAAAGTAAAAATCCAACACACAAATATGTATTCCAGTTGACTTTGAAAACATCTCTGGATTTTAAAACTGAGGCCAATTTTCTGTCACTCCATAGCAAGTCCTCTCTGAGGAGCCACTCTGGTATGCTTTGGCTTTAACAGGAGCTGCCAAACATTAGCAGCAATATCTGCTGTGCTTCTGGGCCACGCAGGAACACAGTGTGTGTTATCAGCCACTCCTGGGCTTGATCTAAAGCTCATTGAAAACAGCAGGAGCCTTTTCACTGGGTTAATTGGACTGGGAAGTCAGCTCTCATAGCAAAATTATTCCTTTACATGTCCATCAGTACATAAGAGATGGGTGGGTTTTGAATGTTTCATGATACAGGGGCCTGAGCTACAGCCAGATTGAGGGGTCAGCTCCCCACAGATCGGGGGCCATGTGGGTCTGGTGTCAGTCTCTCGTGTCCATGCCTTTTGATCCTGATGGGTGTGCACTAATCTTCCTTTGCCAGGCTGGGGATGACTTGTCACACACACAGGGGTTTTACAAGTGAAGGTAAGTGCCTTTTCCAGCACTAAGCTCCTCTCTATCTGTTCATCCAGCATTCTGCATTTCAATAACAGGGTGACAATTAATCTCAGACTTCACTACAGTTTATGGCTTAGCTTTTCATTTTTATGCAATTAGGAGAATCGGTAACCTTTACCTGCTTTCAAAGGAGACTGTTCCCTCTTCCTCCCTCTTCCTGCAACTCCACACCCTCCCCTTCAATCGGCTATGTCTCAAACTGGAGTAATTTCACTCACATTGTTAAAGCAAATTATTGTATCAAAAAAAGGCAACCTGAGCCAAAGTCCATTTAAGCCTACAAGTCTCTGGGGACTCCAAAGAAATTACTATTCTCACTAGCAATGAGTATACTAGGAAGCCAAGGATTAGTATTCATGCTCATGATTGTTGCCTTAGTGCTCCTGTCCTGTGCAGGACCCTGCCAGTGCATGTTTTCCCCTTTCCTTCCCTGCTAGACCAGGGAATGTGGGGTGGATTATGACCCCATGGGTGCTGATGATTGAGCCTGCTAGAAGATAGAAGTTTGGGCAGCTGTAGAGCCCAGCTTAAAACAAATAAATAGCAAATGTTGGAATGGCAGTGAATGGGAAAGGACAAGGCTGGGGTGACCGCCCCTAGAGCAGAGATGGAGAAGACCAGGAATAAAGGGTTACACCACATCTTTGTGTATGGATGGGGTGGTGAGGCAGCCCTGGAGGCACCTCTGTGAAAAGAGGCACTGGGATGGGATCCAGGCTATAGCCATAGCCAGGGAATGTGTGCATCTTTGGCTGAGTGCACCGGCAATAGCACAGGCATGCAAGGGAATGAATGCTCTTCAGGCCTTCAGAGAAGGTGGCTACCTTCACAAAGCTTTTAGCAGCGCTAGGGATGGCTTCAGAGAATGATAATTAAAAGGCAATCTGTCTAGCAGCCAAATTTTCCAAAGAGCTGAAAGCCATATATCCAGCCCAGGAGCAGCCTGATTTCCTGAAGAGCTCAAATCTCCTTTGGACAGTACGTGACATTACATGTTCAGCGTGTTCCGTATGCAGATCTGTCACTTCCGATTTTGCTGATTGCAGGCAGATTCCCTGGAGGTCTGAGCTCCTAAAGGCAGCTCTTAAAAAGAGCAACACAACTGTGCAAGCAAAGAGGAAAGGGACAAACAAAACATTCCTGGTCAGAAGGAAAAATGTAACTGAAAACAGTCTGGTAAAGCAACCACCCACCCGGGGGACCAGGCTGTGACTGAAGCACGTACGTCACTGGCGGCTGCTGATGACACTCGGCCTCTTGGTGCTGGCCCCATGGAGCACGCCAGGCACGGGCTTTTGACATGCTCTAAAGTGTGTGTGGAAAGTTTTAAACACACATATGCTCCCACTGAGCTCGAACCAGAGCCAGTGGGATACTCCCAGACTTCAGTGTTTTGGTGAAATTAGGCCACAAGACACCAGAACTGACCCTAGATGGGAGCCCAGTACAGCAAATTGCTTTGTTCAGCAAGAGGCGAATATCACTTACACTGTGGTGATATCAGCTGCTAAGCTGTGGAAATCCTCCTACAGTACTTACCCTGCACCTCTTGTACCCATTAATCCTTCAGAAGCCCCAGACCTAAGCAGCAGTTATAAAACCACCAGCACATACACAAACATATTTCCCCCCAGAATCAGTATTTCCTACGTCAGGCACGATAGTCAGCCTTGGATGACCAACAGGCTTCGTGTGTAATATTTCCTAAGTCATTTTGGCTGGCAATGAGCATGCTGCACCCTTGAGCGGTTAGGAATTTTCTGTCCATTTCTAGGCCTTACAGGATCATATGACTCTAAGGCAATCCACAATTTTACGCAGCTTATGGACCCAGGTTGCCTAAAAAGCATCCCTGGTCCGACATGTTCTCATTCACCCTGTGGTCTACAGCTTATGAGGCTTCTTATACTTTCAAAAGTACAATTGCATTTTCTCCTGGTTGCAAATTACTATGCTGGAGAATAAAATGGTCCCAGAGCTGGATGGGATGAAGTGAGAGGATATGATCATAGAACCCTGAAGGTTGTAAAAAACCTCCCAGATCATCAAGTCCAGCCTGTGACCAATTCCTACCGTATCAACCAAGGTGATCCTTGGACACCTCCAGGGATGGGGACTCCACCACCTCCCTAGGCAGTAAATGTCTACAACCCTTTCCATGAAGAAGTTCTTCCTGACTTCCTACCTGACCCTCCCCTAGCTGATGTCCTCTTGTCCTGTCAAACTGAAGTTAAACTTCAATTTGCAGATCTTCACCAAATGCCAAGTCATCAGAGCAGTGCCAGCCAAAAGGATTTTGCACACCTGGGCACTTTCACACCTCCACAGTGCCAATACTGTGTTACAGACAAGAACCTGAACTGTCAGTGTTAGAGACACCTGGTTTTGGAGGGAAGTGAGCATGACTAGCAGTAAAAATAATGTTTCGTGCTCTCTCAGGTATTTCCAGGATAAACTTTTTTTCTGCCCAGAACATCACAGAAGAACAGAGAAGGCAGGTACAGAATTGCTCTGGGTGCAGCAATCCCACAAGGAAGTCCTAGAGAAACATCAGCCAGCTTGTTCATGCCACAAATCTGCTTTTCCTGAAATCTGGCAGAAATGGTGATTAGTGTGCTTAATCATTTCACTCCTAGTAATGCAACCGAAAGCTTTCAGGCAATGTGCTCATGGATCACTTCGGGTTGAAGTAGCATCTAAAAAGGATGCAGCATGAAGAAGATTCCTCAGTCACTGCTGATGTGAGACTCACAGAAGGAATTCAAGCTCTGTATCTTTGCTCCACCTCCTGTCTAAAAGATACCCCAAGGACTCACACTACCAAAACCCCTTCCTCTGCAAACTTCCCAAGTTTCAAAGGTGCCAGCTTTCAGATCTTTGTGTCCATATCCCTACTTCTCTTCTGCTAGCCTCTTGCATCAAGGAAACAAGGGGAAAGGATTCATACTGTGAAATTAAAATTTGGAGCAACACAAAATGCCATGCATCTTATCAGAATATACAAAAGCACAAAATAAGGCTTTTAACAGACAAGAGCTCATGCCCACCCAGATAAAATTTAAATGCAATCTCGATGTGATGCATTTTGCTGGCACAGGTTGTATGAGAACAGCTCTGTTTACTTTCTCTCTCTTAAAACTCAAACTTGTTTCCAAAATCTCAGCTCTACTGAGATGTGAGATTTTGAAGAGTATTTAAGTTAGTCTTTGGAGCTAGTCCAGCTTCAGAGATGGCGCAATATAGAGGAGGAGAGCAAGCAGACATGAAAACGTTAATGATAATGCGTTAGGATCTTGAAGGAAGAGAGGCACATGAATATTATTTTGACATTACTTTCCCTCTTTGCACTCCAAGATCGTTAGCAGCAAAGTCTAGCACCTTTCTGTCTGGTCAAATATGCCAGCATACTGCCAGACAATTTTTGAGAATTCCCTGCTCCTCAGTGGTTAAATTTTTGTCCTTTGCAATTTCCAGATTTCTGAGAGAACTCCTAGTGACAGTTGTAATAATATTCTGTAAAATGTTGTGGTGGTGATTCTTTGAATGCCTTTGTGGTTTGCTGTCCAGAGTTATAATAACCTATGCTTGCCCAGATATGTGTTCTCAACTTGGAACACTGGAGCCAGCGTTTGCTCTTCTGCCCGGGAAACTGCATGTGTGTGCCTGCACATCTTGCTGAACATGGGGGTAAGTCTCTCTCCAGGTATTTGCCAGGTGCTCCCTTGTCCCTGGGAAGTGTATTTTGGGGTTCACATCTTTGGGAAAATGAGTGACTTGGGGTTTATTCCAAATAGAAGGATACGCCAAAGGGAGTCATAGGTGGTGTCTGAGCCTCCTTTGAGTTTCATGTGTTTCTCTATCAGTTATCTCCTTTCTTAAGCATTTTATTTTAGAAACAACAATAGAGGGAAAAAAGAAAAATGAAGTACACCTCTCCAACTGTATGGCAAGACTGAAATGGCATAGCTACATTGAGACAAACCTTGATAAGATAGCTTACTTCAGACACCAATTTTATCTCAAGGAGTTTGAGTTACTGAGGAGGATGAGATACAGCAACCACCTTGTGTTAACATTTGCCTGGTCTCAGGTCTACACATATATGCCCCTGGTGAAAACTGCTGAGTGAAACCCTGAGGATCAGGCTTGGACACACACCAAAATCATGTATGTATGGATGAGGCACTGATTTCAACTAAAATGGTATGTAACTTTGAAAAGAGGACTCTAAGAAAAGCTAAAAAGAATATCTCAAAGCCACTCAGACCTTCTCTGAAGCCTTTCTATACCTTATAAAGTTTTTATATATATTTGTATCCATGAAAAAAACAACAGAGAAGATGTGAAATATTAATTGCTCTGAACTTAGTTTTATATAAAAACATATATCCCAAAAACACTTCACAAAGTTATAAACTAGACCCTTGTAGTGCATAAATGTTATAAAATCCAAAGTCTTTATTCTGTGCCAAGCAAAGGGTCCTATATATATATATATTTAAAAAACTGGATCCCAGTCAGCTGAAATATTGAAAATAGTTCTAAAGATGGCAAGGAAAGAACTGAATTTAATTTGGGAAAAAAAAAATCCCTTATGGTTTGGCTGCACACAAGCAATGCTATACTTCCTGAAAGCTGGCTTTTGAAGAGGCAAAGCTGAGCATCCCCTCGGCAGTGACTGCGTGAGTTCCACCTCACACACCAGTGTAGCACCAAAGCTTTGCAATACTGTGTGTTCCCAGTGCACACTGCAGTTGTAAACTCTCAGGCCAAACCATATTTTTAGCCCATGCCCACAAATTAAAACCTGTAAAGACCTTATTCCGCATCTCTTTTGACCACCAGTATTAGAGTATTTCTGAATTTCTAAGTTTATAAGTGCACCCATGTAAAGGCCTTGTGTTTCTCGAACATTAAATTGCAGAACTGTCCTTAGGACAATTCAAGAGCTTCATCAGAGACCCCAGAATCCTGCAGCCATAGAGCTGAGCACAATTTATGTGGAGGAGCCATGCAGAAAATCTTCTTCAAATACCAAATTCTCTTACTGGTGTAAACTCTGCTTTGTCTCTTATCTCTTTTACATTCTCTGTCCTGTATTTCTCCCCTGAAAAAGGGGATCATGCTCTGGTGGTTGAAACTAGCAGGCTGTGACCTGCACGCTGTCCTGTGCTGTGTCTCTCCCTAGCCAGCAATGGTCAGGCACATCCTGCTGGGGACAAACAGGTCACAGCAGCACAGAGAGTGGCTCTGGGCTGAGCTGGGTTTGCTGAGCCACGCTGCTCACACCTCCTGAGCACACTTCCTAACGCCCCACTTGCATCCTGGTTACAGGATATGATCCTCATGCTGAGGGGCAAAAAAAGCTGCTGTCAAGTAATTAAATTTCAGACCAGATGATGGGGTCATGACTTGGACCAACAAGACGGGTTGAGCAAGGATTTCACTAAATGCTGAACCTCCCAAGAACAAGCTCCCTCTCTGGCAGCTCTCCTAAAGCCTCTTTCATCCTCCACATCCACCTTTTCCAGGCTTCATAGACTTCTTACTTTCCTTTCAGTTGTTAATCTTCTTCCAGATGGGTTTCTCCACCCCAGCCTTCTCTGCATTCCCTTCTCCCTGGGGAATATTCAGGCCCCTCCCTGGCTGTCCCTCCCATGCCACCATCACTCCTCATCACCTCTCATCTCAAAACTCCTAGGATGGTAAGCTTGGTCTTCACTCACAGCCAACAAGCTGAAAGGACAAATCTGACTTACTTACATAAACTTGTGTGTCTCAAACTGAGATTTCTCTGACAAAATACATTTTCAGGTCTCTTTTCATGGGTTTGGCAGGGAAAAAGTAAAATTGAGATGCCACTCAAATTTAGAGCTTGTTTCAGGAAAGTTAAGCATGGCAAAATCTCTTTGTACTCAGGGAACATACAAGGGTGCTGAGCACTGTGTATCTCTGGTTTTCTACATGTGTGAAATGGTCTGTTGAAATATGTAACTACAAATTCTCCAAAGCCTGTATGCTTGCAGCTCTCCATGAACTTAAGCCTCAGCTGTCACTAAAAGGGAAGCTTCTACTCTGGAAAGAGAAATTATAAAGAAAGGGCTCCAAATAAGCAGAGAAGCTTCTAAAAGAGAAGAGACAAACTTATTAAAAAAAAAAAAAAAAAAAAAAAGAATTATTATTTCTATGTGTATCTATATGGCTACATATAATCTTTCAAACACAATTTCTTCCCTACTCTTTATCTTCCTCTATTTCTCTTAACAGGGATAACTTTTCACAGCAGATGGATACATAAAATAAAATAGTTTAATTTTCTTTTTAACAAAATAAAAGGAAATACAAGATATATGCTTCACAGTCCAAGACTAATAAACCACTGGTAAGATGCCTCTGACACTTCACCTGTGTGCGAGAAAGCAGGTTCTACCACAGCCTCACAATACCATCAAGAAATACCAACATTTTTTCCTCTATTTGTTGCTTCTGAATATGCATAGCTGCAAATGGATTTTGCTCAGATTTCTCTATCATCTTAACAGTCACTCCTTTGTTATCCCAGCATGCGTCACTTCCATGTGGAGCAGGGAAGAAAGAGACAGCTGACTCACTGTTCCAAGGAACTGAAGCAATCCAAGTGTTGCCCTCATGCTAGCTTCAATGGAAATTACCTCCAGAAAAATAAAACCAGCTACCCCTCAGGAATTGCTTCCGCTCAAGGGAGTGATGGTGGCAACGCTGCATGGTTATATATTACGTGAGAAAGGCCAGAATATTCCATTTGACATGCTGAAAATGTGCTGCTGGGTGTTCTCTGGGGCTGGGTCTCTTCTGGGCAAGAGCTACAGCCCCAGGAAAAAATATAATTTATTGCCAACAAAAGTATTTCAGCTGGCCTTAACTCCACTCCCAGGTGTGTTGAAGAGAAGAACTTACTTGGGGATTAAGCTGTAACTCCATTTCTGTGCCCTGCTGGGCCATGCAATTTAAGCAAAAAGATTTAGTCTCTATCTCTGAGTAATAAATCACCTCCCAACAATTCAGAGTGCTAGTGGGCATGCACAGAGACCAACGGGGGCCACTGACAATATAAACAGCTGCTCGGAATGGTACCAGATCTGACACACAACTAAATTTCTCTGAAAGAACAAGAGCAACAGAGAATCTGATCTTCAATTTTAATGGTAATTTTTCTCCTGAGGGTTTGTGAGATAAATTTCAAGGTGTAAAATCAATTTTAGGTCAAAATATAATGTAAGCTGGGGTGCCAGTGTGTAACCACTATCTCTGAGAGCTTATTTCGGATCACACCACATGGGTCTGCCACCTGCCATCTTCCAAAATACTTCCCATCATCTGAGCCCTCTACAATCAAGTAATGAAAATTATGTGTCTTAAAGTGCCAATATGCACATTAAAAATCAGCAGATCAAAGTAGAATCCAGGACAAAAAAATAATGTTTTCCTTCTTTAAAAAATTATTTCGGGAAACTGTATGGCTCAGGGGCTCGGTATTGGGATATGGAGCCTTTCATCGCTGATCCAAACATGACCCAAGTCGCTAGTGACCAAAAAAATGGTTACTGGTTGGCAGAAGCTTTGTGGCCTAGAGTATTTGAAACTAGTTGATGGTCTTAATCCAGTTCCCAGTGGATGACTATCCACATCACAGAAACCACCACCACAACTGGCACCCTCTTCAGCAGCCTTGGCAGGTTGGCCAAGGATTAAATAAGTACAGAGACTGAGCCACCCGCTCCTGCCTAGCTAGAGGTTGCCCCTCTAGGTCATGGATGAGACATGGGGATGGGGTGGAGTGGGGAAGCTCACACACCCTCTGCTTGTGCTGTCCTGGTTTTGTGGGTAAGAAGAGGAATTCATTTTCCAGGGCTGTGATTCAGGCACCCTTCACAAGCAGTATATTCATATACATCTGTTTAATTTTAAAAGGAGCCAGAAACTGAGAGAATTTCAAGATTTTTTTCCTCAAGAAAATAAGGTGCCAATTTCTGGGGAATTCATCCAAGTCAGGGTAGTTATACCTGGACTGCATTTAACAAAATGCACACAGCCAACCTGTAAAGTGGTTCCACTTCAAGAAACCTTCCTTTTGCTGTGCTGTTTTCAGTCAACACTTTAATTATCTCACAAGATGTCTTAGAGTGTACATAATCTGTGCCAGCTATTATCAGAAAGCTAAAGCTGATTTCTCATTAGGTATACAATGGCAACTATCATATAAAAAAAGATCTGATACACCTCAAAAAATCCTATCTGGGCATAAATTTGCTACACCAAGTCTTTAATAAGAAGCTATGACTGATCCAACCTCTAGCTTCCACACCAGGAGTAAGACAGCAAGGCAAACCAGCCTGGGACAGCAAGGCATTTTCAAACTACAAAAAGGAACTGTTATTTGATCTCTCCTGCTGTGTGGCCCTCATATGTCTAAGATTTAAAAGACCTTCTTGCCAAATGGAAATCCCAGGAAGCAAAAGTGGCAAACTCTTAAAAGGTTCCTCATCTGTTACACCCAAAATGGAGCAGCATCTTGTCCAAGGGAGCCATTTCATTATTTGCACCTGAATCAATGCTCAGATTAATGGCTCTTAATGAAGGGAAGGTCCAGATTTGGACATAAGCAGAGGTTAAAGTAGTGAGGAGTAGGATCTCTTCCCTGTTCATTGGAGGAACACCCCTCAGCCTAGTGCATCTCCTGGCCCTGGACATCCACACATTTCTCCATGCCAGCACATGTTAGGTGTGAAAAGCACCTTAATAGAAGTACTTGACCCAAACCGAACAAATTTCCTAATTGCAGTAGGACAGCACTTGAGGGTGTGGTTACAGCAGAAAATCACACCCACATGGAAGGATCAGGAGCACCTGGCTGCACATTATTACTCCTAATGTCCCAGGGGCACAATTATCTCATCAGGTGCCACCTGGCAAGTCTTGTTGCTGAGGAACTGACTTTGGCACACCACATAACTGGGGTGGGGAAAGGAGAGGAGCACACAGGGCTAGGCACACGTGCTTACTTTAAGTGCATTCCTTAAAAGTGAGTATTTACACCAAGGGGAGACCTTGGCTCTGCTCAGAAGCTTGTCTGCATTTGGGGGTTACAAACAAAGGAGCAAGCTGCTGTTTCTGAATCCTGTCCTGCACCTCCTCACCCTTGGCACAGCTTGCATTCTGTGTTACTGGTTAATGGACATCTCTGAACTTGCAACTCTCCATCCACAGCTTTTCCAACCACTCCATGCGGCCTACAAGAGTCCCAAAGAGACAGAGAAGCCTGGAAAACCTCTTGGCTGGCAATTTTCAAAATGTTTTGCCCTTTTTCTCTGAAGAGAGCACAAAGCCACAGTGAGATGCAGGCTTTATGACTTCCATAAAGGAAGTCATATGACCATGAATCCAGCATGCTGACTTCAAAGCCATTGTCTGGGTGAGGCTGTGTGGCACACATCACCTCTGCAGGCAAGGCCTTCTCATCCCCCCTGCTCTCTTTCATCCTTAGCTCGAGGTGTGAAGCCTAACCTCAACACAACAATTAGTGGATCATGGCCCAGCAAGAGAACACAGAACAAACCTCTGGCTCAGCTGTGGAGCTTCCCTGGAACAATGGAGATCACAAAACACGTAACAAAGCTCTGCGCCTAGAGGTAAGTTACTCTCGGTTGAAAAGATCTGTCTAGGGGACAAATTTTTAGAGATTAGCCTAATCCAGAGTCTGATGACCTTTAGGTCATAGTGCAAGAACCTTCTCTTTGATACATCTTTTACAACATAACCAGAGTGACATTAACAACAATAACCTGACCCCATCCCTCCCCTCAGAAGCACCTACCCTGGGCAGAGCTCCCCAGAGACAGAGTAGGCAGAGGAACAATAGACTCCAGGGAGTCTACTAGGGATGTGCCAATCTAATTATTGTGCGCAGTGCCAGTGAAAAAAAAGCTATCCAAAAATTGTAAAGCTAGTTGATATATCCTTTAGGCCATGGGAGTAGAGAAAAAGGAAGTCACTGTGAATAGGAAGCCATGTTTATTTGTGCTTCCACCCTCAGCCCTCTTGATAGTGTCAAAGTCCACTGGGTTTGAAGCTACCCTGAGAGATTTAGCAGTAGTCCATAGCAGCAGGGAAGGGATTTAAGCCACATCCTTTACGTCTTGCTCACTGTGCTGCAGCAAAGCTGTTCTCCATCCAGCAAATTCATCTTTAAGGCCCAGCACAACAGATCTGATTCAGGAATGTTTCCCTTCCTCTTCATTCCCCTTGAATTTTTCACCCTGAGTCATCGGGCTGCAATATAACTTTAATGTGGAAAGTTTTGCGGGTACGTTTGGTTTCCTTTTAACTTCAGAAAAGAAAAGGTACAACCAGACTGGGAAAAAAGTGTCTCATGGTTGAGAGGACTCTTTTGACCAAGGAGTCACATGGCTCCATGGCGAGCAGCCAGAGGAGTCATGAGTGATGCAGCCATTCCCCTCAGCGCTCCCTTAACCATGTCCTGCCAGCAGCTCTCCGAGGCCAGGACTTGCAGGCACTGTCAAAAATGATGCTCATGACTTTGGTGAGCAGTCCTTTCCCCTGACCTCTCCCCAAGGCCGTGCTGGGCATGGTGGTGAAGAGGGCGATGGTGACGCCGCGCTTCAGACGAGTGCAATCGCACGGGCTTTGTGCCTGTGGTCGGAAAGAGAGTCACTGAAAGTAATGATGCAGCACTTACGCTGCATTTTCTCTTTCCAAACTGCTGTGGCAGCTCTTGCTCTCCTGCCCCTCCCCTACTTTCAAGCCTTGCCAGTGCTGTTATTGCCCTATTAAAGCTGTGGGAAACTGAGGCAGGCAGAAGTCACGATACTGCTATTCAGCATCTCAGGCATCAGGCACTCTCAGACCGTTCCTATCTTCACCACAGAGTGAAACCCACCAGGCTTAGAGGGACTGGCCCTGGCCAGGGTCCAGATCAATCAGAGATGTGCTTGGGCTTTTTCAGATGCTTTCCTGCCTTGCTGCCAGGAATGTCAGGACTGGTGCTGGTCCTGCACGTCCATACAGATCTGCTGGATACTGCACAGCAACTGCTGCATTCCACCCCAGCAGTGAGGAAAATGATCCTTGCCCAATTCACTCGAATACTGGTAGGATTCATTCACTTACAATGCCTGAATGAAAGAAATTATTATTAAATAGTAGTCACATTTGATAATTATGTCTCACTTCAACCAGACTAGTAAGGTGCATATTATATCCAGTCACAGTATTGTAGCACTTTAAAATTTTAAATTGGATACAACTCAAAACATTTCCCAGATCCTGCTTGCATGCAGAAAGTGGTTTATATCTTTCTAGCTTATGCATACTTCCAGCTTTGGGCTTCTCTGCAATACTTCACATGCAACAGCAAATGCTTCAAGGCTTTTGATATATTTCTCCCCTCAAAAATTTAAATAAGGTTTTGGATTTATGTCTGGTCTTGCTGATTCGAAAGGCCATAATTCTTTCAGTGGCCCATGGAACTGATTTTGGGCTTTGTCTGTGTATGGCCTTCTACTAATATTGTCTTAGTATATGTTAGTATATGTTCTTGCGAATTATGGTCAGATTCCCTATAAATTGCATAAAATAGCAGCCTGTGTCAAGGCTGCATTGAAATGGATACTGTAAGGATAAGGCTGGTGCTGACTTTCTGTTTGGTACTCTTTTTGATTGCACTGGAGTCACTCAGTTGACTGCAGCAGAGTTCCTCCTGCTTTACTAGCTGCTGAGCTGTGGATATGGCCTCAGGGGAGAGAAACTACAGGCACGTAGTGCTTAAAAGACAAAAGGTAAGAGCTCCCCCAAAATTCTACACAGTGATGGCCATTCAGAAGGAAATTATTTTTAATGCCTTTGTCGTGCATTCTAAGTGTGCTGGTGGAGACCCAACTCACCAGCATTACTTTTTGCATCACGAATCTGCCAGCAAAGTCCACAGAGCTCTATCAGCTTTGAAAGTGGTGTCACTGCCCAGTAACAGTGTGTCTCTTCCTCAGGTAAAACATTTGGGATGCGCAGGGACCAGTGGACTTGGTGCCACTACACAGGGGAAATCCTTCTGCCACTACTGAACTCCTAACCCTCACTTCTTCCTTCACTTGCACACCTGCTATACCACTGGATGTCTTTTCTCTACTTATTAGGAACTCAGGGTGAAATCTGACCTCGGACAAAGTGCTGAAACAAAGACTGTCACCATGATGATTAAGTGGGATTTTTGCATAAATGTGAAGTTTAGCCTTTTTTGAGGGAAATCTGATCCACAAGCATAGGCTGAAACAAAAACAAATGTTCAAAATGATAACAGTGTTATGAGTACAAACTGTATGCGATATTAAAATTATTTCCAGAAAAGAAAGATACAATAACTCTCTGATTTACTCTTGAGATTTTCTAAAGAAGCTATGATTTGCTGAAAAATAATTAGTAGGTTATAATTATCTTATTATCAGATCCTAGTGGAAGAAAGATGTTTTTATGATGAGAGCAACTATTTGGCTGTAACTATCTTAACTTCAGTAAAACTGCCCATACTCTGTTAGAACTGAATAAGGCAGCAAACTTTCAGCTCCATCCAGAAAACTGACTTTTAGAAAGAAAGAGAAAAGAATAGAAAAAACAACTCATCATGTTATCTAAAGGTTTGTCCTAAAAACATTTTGGCAGTAAGGGAAGGGAGAAGTCATAGAAATGCATACAGACAGAAAAACCTACTGGTCAAATATTTAAGTCTCTTTATCTAGAATTTCTTTCCATTTTTGCTAATGCAGAATTTGCAGTGTTCCTTAGACATGTGTTGTAGCAAATGCAAATATATTGGAATTAACTTCCTAGTAAGAAGTTAACAGCAAGTTCTATGCAGCTATCAACAATGGAGAGAAAACAGATCTACATTTGGGGGAGGATTGAAGGGACAGCAAAAGAGGAGAGGGTTCTAATAACCCTTAAAAGACTGAAAGACATTCTCCAGAAACATGCCTTCCTTGGCTTTTCTTCCAGAGTACTCCTGTGCCTACACTCCTGGACTTTCTTATCCTCCTACATAATTCTGGGCTTGTAAACCTGAAGCTTTCAGTGACAAGTTTCATCAGCTCATTTATGGGCTGTTCACACGTGCATGGCACAATTCCAGAACAAAAAAGTCATGGAGATTTTGCTTTTCTGTCACAGTTCTCACAGATAGAGGCCTGTCTGGCTCTCACAGAACCCTTCCATGTAGAGTTTTACTGTAACACTATGCAAGTTACATACCTGGGGTAGGTTGGAGAGATGCTCTACAGAAGAGCAGTGGAACATCAAGGGGTAAAGAGCAAATATCGTGAGAAGAACCAAATAGACAGGTGAGTTGTATTGCAAAAATTCATCTGTCAGGTAATTAACAGGTAGACATGCTTTGCCAGCAGCCATGAAAGGCACTGGTGAGAGTCCACAAAGGGTAGAACAACATCCAAAAGTTGTGGGCTGAAGAAACTGGGCTTGCAACATTAACCAATTCTGTAACTCATAGTGTCAGCATATCTGAAGAACTCCTTTGATCTACAGCTAGGTTTTTATTGCTTGGGGTAACTTGGGAGGACTGGAGGGTTAAACTATATTTTGGGGTCAGGAGGCTCTCTCACTGCATTTCAGCCCCAGTCCCAAGCACTGACAAAGCATATGCCAGCATTCTACCCTCAGCATGCCACATTGCCAGGTACATATGGTGCTTTTCCCGTTGCAAAAAAAGGTGGTTGTTAGTCTAACTGCATAATTTCTGGTCATTTTGTTTAGCTCTTTAACACCTTCTTTGAAAGACTTCTCTGAGGGATTGGCCTTGTTGGGTGTTTAATATGCAAACACATCTGTATTCATCCTTACCTATTCATCTGAATATTTCATATTGCTTTTTACCCACTTTTTATTTTATGTTAGTAACACAACATATGTCGTAATTCCACGCTGTCATCCTACACATTCTGGATCCTGCCACCTTTCCTTTTAATTTCTAAAGTAATTAAATTTTGCAATTTCCAGGTGTACTAAACATCTAATTCCTGGAACCTGATTGTTGCAAAGGATTGAGAGAGTTGCCTTCATCCAAATGCATTTGGATCCAAGGATATTCAGGGCTTGAGTGCTTAAGAGGAGAGGAGTGGCCAGTCCCAGATTTACCAGAGCTCTCTGATTTTAGACAGGGTATTTTATTCTGGGTCTCACAGTGAAATGCTGGACTTTACCTCCTAGAACCACCAAGAAATCATATCACAATCATTCTCCCATCTTTGTGTAGCTGCTTCAATACATGGAAATTTCCTGTGTCAGGCAGGTAAGCCAAGCTTATGGCAGTCCAGCATAAAAATATCCTTTATCTTTCTCTTTTCTACGTAGCAAAAGCATTAGCTTTAGATGAGCCTGAAAATACTTGATACTCTTTGAAGATTGAGCTGTTCTGTCTATAAGCAAGCACACCTTTGAGGGATGGTAAAGTGGAAGGAAGTCCTCTTACAAATCCTCTTATAGAGGATCATTATCACAGTACCACGTAAAAGGAGAATATAACAGCTCTCCTTGGGCATTGTGCACTGCATAACTAGAGGCTGAGAGAGCAAGCTTCCCCTAAAGTATCAGTTATAAAATGAACAAGGTGCAAAAGCAGGGAAATGATGGATTTCCGCTGCAGCTCAGTGACTGAGCCGGAGACAATCCCATCCCTGTAACAACCAGCTTAATCATGGAAGTGGATCCTGCCCTGATCTAACCAGGATAGGAAAAGTGGGCCAGCCTGTGTAACTCTGACTGCACCAGCTAAAGCAGGAGCATCAGCCAGGCTGCTCGGCATTGCTGGTGAAGCTGTGCCCACTACCCCCTTGAGGGCTCTCTCTCTACCTGTGCAGCTCCCTCCGGCACTGATGGATTAAGAAGTAAACTCCAGGGACTCTCTCCAGCAGTCCTAATCTTTAGGGATTAGGCATGACCACTTTTCTGTAGGCATAAAAACAATCTGCATTCCTTCTAATCTGCTTCCCACAAGTGTTGAGAAGCCCTGTTGTTAAGGATATTGAATTATAAGGATGTGGAAGCACCAGCAGAACAAATGCAAAACTTGCAGAGGAATTTTCTTCCTCTACATTTCCTAACCAAGCAGTGATATCTACTCACCAGTATAAATTATTTGTTGTGCTGTGGTGTTAGAAAATGTATTTGCTTTGAACATTTGTTCTGCTATTACTACATATACACACACTCTGTTAAGAATTATTCCAAATCACTTCATAGCAAAGGACTGAATTAACTGTATCTATGTGCCAGCAGATAATCCCTGAATAAGCTTTGTCAGAACCAACTCTCGTGTTTCTGGTGAATGGATCCTGCACTAAATAAGATGAACAGTAAAAGAGGTGCACCAGTGGAAAACTGACGAGCACCATCTTCTTTAGAAGCAGCTGAATACGGGTATGTGTACAGACACATGCACACTCTCATATGCACTGCAAGAAACAGTGACAGTGTTCTGCATAATCCTGGCGTTTAGAGGTTTATGCTAATTACACTGATATTATTTAATGGCAGCTTTATACTTTAAATATTTAATTGGATTACCAAAATATGTCCAGCATTAAAATGCAACAGCTATTGGAGCCACAGTCGGTTTTCTTTTTCAGAGAGGCAGACACTAATTTCTTCTGGTTGTAAAAATGTTCACAGTGCCTCAACAGGCTGAAGGTTACCAGGCAAGCACACTGTAGAAGATGACTTTATCAGATAGCACACTTACAATGTATAAATCAATTTTATAAAGGAGTCGGGTTTTAAATTAATTTTGCATGTAGTTGACCATAACTTAACTTTCTTCCCAGCACAAACAACACTGAGGTGTGGTGCCCATTTCATTTCATTTCATTTCATTTCATTTCATTTCATTTCATTTCATTTCATTTCATTTCATTTCATTTCATTTCATTTCACCATTGCCTTTTCCATTCAGAAAAATCTGATGGGATTTTTGCTTGACAGGTTTTCTCACAGAATAATAGGGTAGCATCCCATCTCCCCCGGCCTGCATTCCCTGCACCAAGAAAGACTGAGCACGCACTCTACTTGCTTGCCCCCTGAAACTCACCCCCTCTGTCCCTGAAGGAGCAGCAATGCAGAAGCCAAGGAGTCGTTCCCATAGCCAAAAGAGGATAGAGATCTCGGGGAAAATTAACATAACCATTGGCAATCCCTGAGAAGCATCCTCCCCTCCGGAGGGCGAGGGTAGCAGAAACAGACACCAGCAGATAATGCTCCAACAGACTCTACTACGCTTTAATCTTCAAATGCCAGCATTAGTAAGCCAGAGAAGTATATTTGCCCACCAGACAAGCACCACAAGTTCAATAGGCTACTCTCCATTAAGCACTGGAATAACTCCTCTTTCTTTTCACTTTGAGGCAAAGCATCTCTGCCGCGGGTGCCCCGGCTCTCTGGGAGGGATGGGGGGGGACACAGTGGAAAAGGAGCAAGTGGGAGGGATTGGGGGGGGGGACACATTGGAAAAGGAGCAAGTGGGAGGGATGGGGGGGACACAGGGGAAAAGGAGCAAGCAGAGCCGGGGGCTGGTGCCGGGGGTGGCACGGAGGAGAAGCGGGGGGGTCGGGTCCGGGGGACCCTGTCCCCAGCGGCCCCGTGCGCGCTTTCTCCCCGGGAAAGCAGCCGGCTCCGTCCCTCCGGAGTGATGGATGGAGGGAGGTGGGCGTCGCTTTGGGGCTCCGCTTTGTTGGCTTTCACCTCCTGATCCCTTTCGCTTCTGCTCTGCTGGGCTGCAATAGCCACCTCGGCTCCAGCTCCGCGGGTCCAGCTCCGGGTGACCTGCCGCGGAGGGGATGAACTGGGGACGGCCCAGGGAAAGGCGAGAGAGCATTATTTATCCACCGCAACTTCTCATTGTCGCGGGGCAGTGCTCAAAAGACCCACAAGCAGTTGGCTTTAAATAAAGCAGGCATTGCTTCCCTTGTATTTCCCCTCAGCAGTCGCCTTAGTATTATTATTATACTTCTATAGCTTTTGCTTTCGGACCTTATAATTATGTCACACAGCAAGGGAAACCGCCAGCATCCCAGCATCTGGTGTGCGGTTGCAAACTTTTGTTTTAAGATTTGAACTATTTATAGAAGGAAAACTTTGTAGGATAGTAATTTCCTACGGTTTTGAGAAAAATATGGCTACGCTTATATTAAAAGGGTGTATTTATTTATTTATTACGACTCCTTCCTCCTGTATAAAAAAATAATAACCACAAAAAAAACCCCAACCAACCAAAGATAGCACGGCAAGCTTTTTTACAAGCTATTGGTCACCTACGCAGCAGATATATCCCTCCTATGAACAGAAAC